CTGTGCTCTTCTGAATTCCTCCTCTTCCGGTTCTCCTCACTTCCTCCACTCTGCCATCTGCTTCTTTGTTTACACGAAGAGGAGGTGGAAGACACAACAATATGGCGCCAAGGTCGGAGTTGTTTATTTTACTTAATAACTTTTTGTAGCGTTGAGCAGCTGGAAGGGAGTAAGGGAGAGTCCTGGGGGAGGGGGGGTTGACCAGTACAATTTCGTTAGCGTATTTTTAAGCCACCAAACGGTTTACCCATTCTATTAATTGTCCTTCGGCATAATTAATTCCTCAAAGCCAATCAATTGTCCAATTCATTCACCTTCAGTTGGTCAGCCAACCGAATGCCTCCGTATCCTTCTTATGTTAATTTATGTTGAATTCTTTCTCAATATTTTTAGAGCTGAGGTTGCCGGGTGTCTTTGCCCCGTTCCTTTAAATCTTTGATCGCGCCGCGGAATCAGAAAAAATAAGAAATTCTTCTTACTTACCCCTCTCTTTCATGGGGGGGTATTATCTGTCTGAAGTTCTTAATTCTTAGTTAGATGGGGGTGGCGAGAGTTCTTGCGGGGGTTTCCCCCCTGCTTCCCACGATACAGCCCGCTACCAGCGGATTCTTCCCGGACCCCCTCTGCCCCCACCCTTGAGGGGATAGCGGCTTATGGGGTCTTCGGGTGATCCAGCGCGGTTTCGCGTACCCTCAGCACTCGATCCGGCTGAGGAGGGGAGCTACTCGCTCTACCCGGCTGTTTCCGTGGGTCCTTGCCGAGGAACCTCAGCAAGGCACTCCTGCCGCCATGCCGTCCCCACCGGAAGTCAACATTTTATAAGACTTCTAACATTATGAAATTTGTGGAATTTATACACTGGATGCAGGCATGTAGCCGGGGGGGGGCCTTGGGGGGCTTCAGTCCCCCCCGAAATTCTCATGGTGGTTCGCGAAAAGGCCTTACTGGTGCATTATTTAAACTGTTATGTTTATTCATATCATGATCTGATCACCATACTCAATATATCCCATATGCATGGGGGTATTGGGGTAATGATACAAAAGGTTTGCTAGGGTAGACCCTCTTTCACTCAGACTCAGCCCCCCCGAAACTCAGCCCCCCCCCGAAACCCCCCCTGAAAAAAATTCAGCCCCCCCCCCGAAACGAAATCCTGGCTACGGGCCTGACTGGATGTATCAATCTTTTCATCTATACGTTTAAACACAAACTAAGACACCTTACTGTTACAGAAAAAACTGGTATTGTACAGTTTGTTTGTGCATGCACAGCAATTAAACAATGGTCTCTGCTCCCTTTCCTATTCCTTTAACTTCAATAAAAAGCTCAGTTGACCACAAAACAGAATAAACATCTGTGTATAAATGCTGATTGAAGCAACTGACTAAAGAAAGGAAGATGATTTTAAATATCTCAGCACTAAGAATCTGGTATTTGTTGATCACCAGAGGGGTGTGCAGAGAGAGGACATCCCTCCTGTTGCACCAGTTCCATTGGCTGCCAGTCTACTACTGAGCACAATTCAAGGTGCTGGCTTTAGCCTATAAAGCCTTAAACAGTTCTGGACCAGATTACTTGTCTGAACATATCTCCCCCTATGAACCACCTTGGAGATTAAGATCATCTGGAGAGACCCTGCTCTGAATTCCACCTCCTTCGCAAGCACGACTGCTGGGGACAAAAGACAGGGCGTTCTCAGTGGTGGCCCCTCGGCTATGTTACTCCCTCCCCAGCAACATTAGATCGGCTCCCTCCCTCTTAGCCTTCAGAAGGAAAGTAAAAACTTGGCTTTGGGATCAGACTTTTGGATAATAGTGCAGTGCAATAACAGATTTGGAATATGTGCAATAAGTACGGAACTTCTTTGGATTACAATTATGGATGGCGTGATTTTATATTGAATGTAATGCTTTTAAATGTTTTGAATGCTTAATATGTATTAATTTTAATTTAATTAACGTTACCAGAATTGTATGTGTTTTAAGGCATTGAATAATTGCCTATATGTAAGCCACCTTGAGTCCCCTTCGGAGTAGAGAAAAGCGGGGTATAAATAGGGTAAATAATAAATAAATAAATATTCATCCGACCTTGAAGACTGACTGTTTTATTGTTTGGGGCATATGTCTGCCCATTTTCAAACCAAATGCTTCAGACTAAAATTAATCCACAAGAGGTCAAACATTTATTTTTGTAATCATGGAGGTTTTCTGCAATTGCTGCTCAATCCCAAAAACCTTTTCAAGTGAGAATTTCATTCTGAGTTCTTGTGGGTTTTTTCGGGCTATATGGCCATGTTCTAGAGGCATTTCTCCTGACGTTTCGCCTGCATCTATGGCAAGCACCCTCAGAGGTGAGGTCAGAATGAAAAATGAATGAATTTTTCAGTTCATGAATGACTGAAGGCTTTTCTTGTAAAGTTTCCCACCAATCAGACAAAACTGTAAAGCAAATATGATATAGCAGATGTTTGTTTCATTCTGCTGAAACTCCCTTGGCTTTTAATTCCTCTTTGGTACAGGACAGATTTTGTTTATAAACACAAGCGAACTCTCAGCTCTCAGGCAGCTTCACATTTCTTCCTTACAAGGAATCCAAAACTAGCAGAGACTTTGGCATTTGGGTTTCCCAACTGTAATATTGTTATGGCAAGTCACTGGGCTGCAGTCGCTAAGCAGTTCTCCAGACAAACTGGCCTGACAGTAAGTTATTTTAAAAATGGTAAATTTTAATTTAGAATGGTGCACTTGAACCGAAGAAGAGAAAAAGGAAATATCCAGGCTTTTCTTCAGTACATATATCTTGCTAGACGAACATTTCCTTCTTTGTCCCCAGGGGAAAATGTTACTAGGGAAGAAGGCAATTATTCTCACCCCATAGACTAAGCATATAGAAGTTGTTTTCCAGAACTGTTCCCTTGGAACAGGGAAAGGAGAAGGAAAGAACACATTTTCCTTAGCTAGTTTTACACAGCCTGATCCCAACTATAATTACTTGGAATTACTATTCACGTCCAAGTAACTATGCTTAAATTGGAGGCCTTATTTGGACAATGCAAAGTAAAGTTTGTTAAATAAACATGCCTCTGACCACATGACAACTAAAATGGTGCCTTGACTATGTTTCAGAATACCTTTAAATGCTTCCTAATTTTTTTCAGTGGGACTGAGCAATCTCCTGGATCAGGACCTACTAGATGTTCTATTGAGAAACCCAGGGAAAGTTTTATATGACTTCGCTTCCTCTGGATGAAACAGCACTGAAATCTTGTTGTGGTATTGAAGCAGGAGACTGCTGAGTAATAGCGAAGATCATAAAATGAGGAATAAGTGGAGATATACAAGTGGGGGGCTTACCCTGCTCCCTGGATTCGGACCATTGACCTTCCGGTCAGCAACTTTAGCAGCTCAGCGGTTTAACCCGTTACACCACCAGGCCATTTGCTGTCTGCATCTGCTTTATATAGATTGTACTTTGGCTCATTCTAAGAGCTGCATGCCTCCTTACTTAAAGTGCAACCACACAACTTTTTCAAAAGGATCCAAGCCATAGGGTGGTATGAAAAACTTCTAATAAAGATCCTGAAGAGCCATAGTCTGTCAGAATACAGATCTTCCCTGGTGTAAGGGAACCTTCTAAGCCAACGTTTCTCAACCTGGAAGTCAGAACCCCTGGGGGGTCATGGGGGGGGGGGTTTGCCAAAGACCATCAGAAAACACTGTATTTTCTGTTAGTCATGGGGGTTCTGTGTGGGAAGTCTGGCCCAATTCTATCATTGTTGGGGTTTCAAATCCTCTTTGATTGTAGGTGAACTATAAATCCCGGCAACTACAACTCCCAAATGTCAAGGTCTAATTTCCCCAAACTCCACCAGTGTTCACATTTGGGCATATTGAGTATTCGTGCCAAGTTTGGTCTCGATCCATCATTGTTTGAGTCCACAGTGCTCTCTGGATGTAGGGGAACTACAACTCCAAAACTCAAGGTCAATGCCCACCAAACCCTTCCAGTATTTTCTGTTGGTCATGGGAGTTCTGTGTGCCAAGTTTGGTTCAATTCCATCATTGGTGGAGTCCAGATGCTCTATTGTAGATGAACTATAAATCCCAGCAACTACAACTCCCAAATGACAATATCAATCCCCCCCAACCTGAGCAATATTCAAATTTGGCCGTATCGGGTATTTGTGCCAAATTTGGTCCAGTAAGTGAAAATACATCTTGCATATCAGATAGTTACATTACAATTCATAACAGTAGCAAAATTACAGCTATAAAATAGCAACAAAAATAATGTTATGGTTGGGGGTCACCATAATATGAGGAACTGTATTAAGGGGTCGCAGCATTAGGAAGGTTGAGAAACACTGTTCTAAGCTGTCTAAGAAATGCAGTTCCTGCAAAAGTAATCATCAGGCGGATCCAAACAACGTAAATACAAGGATTTTATTGGACACATAAAGAAACAACTGCCAGCTTACTGCATTTGCAAGGGATGCAGGACCCCTGAGAAAGTAGAAAAATGTGAATTTAAAAACAGCATTTTTAAACCTGATAAAGCACATTTCTGGGAATCTCTACATCTTCCAGTTCAACTCTATGGTCAGCTTCTGCCAGATATTAATCAAATCCGTCAAAAATAAATCCACAAATGTGGAGGGCTGACTGAATTTTGCAGAAATGGCTTGCCTCATGAACAGTTACTATATGGTTATGTTTTGTGTGAAGACAATGCTACTGTTTACAAATGTAATTATTCAGAAAAATTCTCAAGCTTCACATATCCTTATTCAATATATGAGAAACCAGCAAGGCACCTGATTCCCAAAGACAGCTCATTCTAGTGTTACTCTCTTTTACAGTGAACACAACGAACAGACATTGCACACAGATGTAACCTCTTATGTAATAGGAATGTATTTTCTTTACCTTCTGACATCTTCCCGCATACAAGATATTCGTTTTTTGAGAGAGCTAAAAGCATTTTTCTTCTATACGTACCTGTGGTTCTCTGTCATGTTTACTGGGGTCTTTTTCATAGCTTTCCGCATAGATCCGGAGAGTAGCGCGTACATGACTAGAAGCACTTAATCTGAAGATGAGTCTGGATGCATCAGAGAAAATTATCCTTAGACCCTTGGGAGGAAAGCAATAACATGGGTATTGGAAGCAATATTATTATTTGCCAATATCATTTTGTGACATATTCTCTTAATATAGTCTATTCAAGAATGTTTAAACTCACCCACTGTTATTTAGTATCATTCTACGTAAAAAAATTTCATGTCAAAAGCATTGCATAATAAATAAGTTTAATCTGATACAATATAGGGATCACAAGCAGCTAAATAGTTTTAGACCAAAAACAGGCAATAGCAACTGCATTGTCTGTAGCTTTAAACTGTTCTTCCTCTCTGCATGAGGCAGGGCATTGTGGGCAAGCATAATGATGCTGCCCACAATGCCCTACATATTGTCCACAATTCCACACATTGATATATTTCTTCCCTATTTTTTAACTTGCACATTTATTTTATTTATTTATTTATTTATTTATTTAATTCACTTGTATACCGCTAATATCTCAGCCTGAATCGGCGACTCATTGCGGTTTACAACAATAAAAACAGTCTCCAATTTAAAAACATATACACATACAGTACAGATTATTGGGCCACCAATAATAATCCCATGTATCTCGAACTAAAATCATAATCCAGAATTCGTTGTCCATATTTTCCTGTCCTTAGTCACCAAAATTCGATTGCCACAGATTAGCCGAATGCTTGTTTAAACAACCATGTTTTCAATCTCTTCCTAAACACCATCAGCGAAGAGGCTGATCGTACCTCTATAGGGAGGGTTATGTTTGGTCTATTACGTTGATTAAAACAAGCATGCACATATTACTCCAGTTTCAGGTGCTATTAATAGGGACTATTTCCACAAGTATTTTTCCAGTTCTACTCATTCAAAGATTCAGGGGAAGTGGCGGTGGTGGGGGCTTGCTTGTCATACCTGTCTTTTGGCCACAGTACCATCTACGGGATCCACATATTCAAAACTGTTTCCTTTTTGCACAGTGTAGACATGGCTTCCAACCGCAAACTGTTGATTAGTGAAAGACTTATCAGTGATTAAAGCCTCCAGGTCTCTCATTATGAAATATGCTGTTCGAGGGTCCAGCGCTTCATAATCAAATCTTGCATTGCAGAAATTTAAAGAACAAAATATGCATGTGAAATGTCATGGTAATATCAAATTTTAATGTAATTATAGAAAGGGAACATGATTTTCATCTGTATTCAAATACATGTATCAGAGAAGAATCTGCATCTTAGATACTACCTAGTATTGTAAGAAGCTATCCTGCCATAAAGCATGACAAGAACCAGAGAAAGGATGAACAGCCTCCACCTGCTTTATCTCCTCCAAGAAATGTGAAAGGGCAAAACAGGCTACAGTGAATGGGAAAACGTTCAGTGTAAGTATCTGACAAAGTACTCGCAAGATATGGAGTTGGTATTGTTGAACAGTCTGATCCTGTGTCTTGGTACAAGCAGTGCTGCCACCTTAATGCAGTGGCCAAACCAATATATCAGCAGCTGGTGATGTCACACTACCTAACTGAACATCAATCATTCAATGCCTTCAGTTCCTTTGGCAGAGGGTCTAGGACTCTAGTGGAACCCTATTCTTACTTTAAATAATGAAACCTCTTTTCTGTTGTTCCTCCTTTTAAGGTCAGACTCCAAGATCAGAGTTTATGCATACTACATAGAATATTACTGAAGATAAACGGTCACTTCTTAGAATATTAATCTGAAGGAAGTTAGGTTGTCACCTCTCATACCCTACAGTACTAAAGTCACTGTATGAGTCTACTGACAAATTTGAGACCCCTGAGCACATTTATCAATTGGAACTTCACAGATACCAGTAGTTTATGCTTTGGTGAGAATACAGAGACATATTCAATCACACTTATGAATGTTTTCATAATTATTGTATTGGATACAAAAAATGTTACAAAAAACCAAAACAATTTCTCTTTTCATGAAACTAACCCTTCTCTAGAGCAGCTATAAATTACCTGCAGTAGTAGTGACGGCCAAATTTTGTCCAGTGCTCTCTGACAATCTCTTCTACACCCTGTTTTCGAGCTGCCATGATTGAGAGCCAAATTAGGACAGCCCAAAGTCCATCCTTTTCTCGAATGTGGTCAGATCCTAAGAGCAAAATATTAAATGTGTATTGAGTGTTTATTGTGAAAGAAGAAAATGAATATTCAGTTGTTGGTATGTGGTAGCTCTTGTTTCTCAATTATAAACAGAAATTGATGCGAAATCATGCTGAACCAAGCCTAAGCCCATATTTTGAGATTTATACATTTGATGGCAATCCTAATCAGATTTTGGAGATGTTAATTCATTTTTGTTACACCATTCGTGACTGTCAGGAGTCATCCCGAAAATTGATTGCCATAACAGTCCAGCATATTTTCAAAAGACATGAAAGACGTATTGCCTGAACACTGATGAAAGTTGCATGTAAAGTCAACTTCCATCAAAATTGGTTATAATCTACCGCTAAACGACACGAGTAGAACATTTTCCCAATGTTCTAATTTTCCTGTGGAAAACTCACCATTTCGTTTTTTTAAATCACTGTTTCATAGAGTTTATAAGCAATAACAGATGCCAATATAGCATTAGACAAATCTGACTTCACAGTAATCATGTAGGCACTTACTTGACCTGTTGGAATATTCAAAAGTTCCATTTAGTAAATTTAAGTGAGTCAAATAAATGTGCTAAATCATTTTCCAGTTCAATTTTTTCACTAGAAGGCCGGGTCTTCAATTTCCAGACTGCTTTTTTAAAAAAAATCTCCCATTCTTTTCATTCCTCTCATTATTATGTAGCATCATAAAAATAATGGAAAACATAAACACCTTTTCACTATTTATGGATATAGTGCTTCACACTAATAAAAGCACTGATTGTCAGTGTGGATGCCAGAATGTTTGTTTATTTTAGGTACTAGGTAGCAGCAGTGAGTACTCAGCTAATACTGTAATGTGTTTACCACCTTGAAGTTTTTTTAAAAAAGGAAAGGACCTAGATCCAAGAACACATTAAACTGAAACATATAATGTACCTACATTCCATATAATGGGAATTAAAAACCCAAACATACACACAGACCAGGAGATGGAAGCTGCTTCTAGGTATGTGACAAAATTATGTGTGATACAATGAACCTCTAATATGCAGTTCTCAGATCAAAGACTATAGCAGATGACATTGAGAAGGCAAAATATGATCCCTGACCTTCAGTAGCTTAACTGGTCATATCTAGAAGCACTTCCATTACACCTATCATGCATCTCTCTTGAGAGCAGTGGTTCCCAATCTTTTTTTTTTTTGACCAGGGGCCACTTTGACAAGGGACCACTCTCCAACATTAGTACCAAAGGAGTTACGAATCGGTTGTTGGCCAACTTTAGATTCAGTTTGGTTATTTGGGGTGCTGATTCAGAAAACTGCATTGGACAGACCACATCAGCTCTTGTTTATGATACAGAACATATGCCATCCAGTAGTCGCCAGCTGATGTGATCTATCCAATGGTATCGTCAATGCAAATAACCCCAATAACAGGCCTAAAAATGAAGATACCAAGGCTCCCTTCTTCCAGGAGCCACATAGAATGGCTCCACTCATGGGGAGGGAGGAGAAGCAGCAGTCAGGAGGCTTGTTGTCATGCCTTTCATAGGTAGTCAGCCTCTCCCTTCCCGACATCCTCATTGTGTCGGCACTATAAGAGGCTTTCATGAGACTAGTCACTCTCGTTGCAACGGTGTAGTAATGGTGAGGCCATGGATCATATTTTACTTCTTGGGGACCACTGGTTGGGAACCACTGCTTTAGAACAAAGCAGTGGTTCCCCTCTCTCATATTTTTCTTCTTTCATTCACATGTCTGGGCAAATATTCTGTCAAGAGTTGCTGAATTATCCAAAATATATTGCTAGCTGATCAAAGCACAGTACCATTTTTCTTTCATTATTTACTGTATAAGTGCCTGACTACAGTTCATATAAGCTAAGAGATGGAGTAAAAATCATTCTGATGACTGCCAAAAAGGATTAAATCACACATATAAATCATAGGTAGAGAATTCTTAATGCTGATTAACATTTTGCAGGAGACCGAAGGTTGTGTCTACCATCTTATTTTTCAAACTCCAAGTCAGTTTACAGGGCTAACTAACTTCATCTGACAAACTACATTTTGCTGCTGCAAAAAGTAAGAGGTTACAACATTGAGTGTCAGATCAGCTGCCAGAGAACAGGTCTGTCATTACACGGTTGAAAATTAGAATGTTCTCATTAATAAACCTCAAAACTGCCAGAGCCTGACCCTCTATTGAGAATACAATACTCTTAATATTGGCTCAGTTGCCAAGTTTGTAGGAGCTGTAGAGACAACAAAAACCAAGAGAAAAGAGAGAAGCTTGTACTGTTCAAACATGTAATTGCTAGGTGAAAAACTCATGTTTTTAATCATTACTGTATTTTCCAGCCTCATAAATGCTCTTTGCATAATCTAGCATAAGTTTACTTTTCATTGTACCAGTTTATATGGTATCAGGATCTTCTTGAAGAAGGTAAAATCACAAAGGCTACTAGATTCTTTAGACAGAGACGAGGGCCTACAAATTCCACGTGAAAAAAACCCTAATACACATGCAAGCTCTTACCTTTCCTACTAGTCTGCTCTACTGCAAAAAAACAGACTTTATCTTTATTCTATATTTTAACCTGTTTTAAACTGATTTTACTTATACACTTCGCTGGGTGCAGTTACACTGTAGAATTAATGCAGTTTGACAGCACTTTAATGGTCATAGCTCAATTCTATGGAATCATGGGAGTTGTAGGCCGGATCCAGACAGGCCTTTATCCCAGAAGCATCCACGTTAAAAAAAGTGGATGTTTCTGGAGGCCTGTCCACACCCACCCCAGAAAGCACGAGCTAGCCCGAGAGAATGTGTGGAGGCCCTACCCCTTCCCCCTCCCCCCTACACCCCTTAGAAAAGAAATACAAACTTATGTGACCTCCATTAGAAGCCTTGGCTGGCTCTCTCAGCATGTAGAAATGACACGCCAGAAGAGCCGGGGGGAGGGGATTTTCCTCCCTCCTCCCCCCTGCACTCTTGGCACATCATTTCTACATGCTGGTAGAGCTGGCCAAGGCTTCTAATGGAGGCCACATAAGTTTTTATTATTTTTCTAAGGGGTCTGGGAGCTTGGTGGGGGGGGGGGGGTGAGTATTCGCACAGTTTACCAGGCTTATTTAGCCCAGTAAACTGTGGAATACTGTCTGGACTGCAGTATTCTGCAGTCCAGACCTGGAAATAGTGGATTTGTCCTGTGCCTTCCAAAAAGGTGCGGAATAAATCCACTATCAAATTAATTCGCTACAAACCAGCGCTTTTTCTAATTTGTAGTGAATTAATTCAGGACTGTCCAGAACGTTGTCTGGACAGCCCCTCCTATATTGAGAGGGTTCCCACAATAAAGGTCCTATCTGGACGGGCCCCTAGTCTGGCAGAGAAGGTTGAATGCCTTATAAAGACACAGCTCCCATGATTCCATAGCACCGAGCTATGACTGTTAAAGTGGTGTCAAACTGCATTAATTCTACTATGTAGATGGATGCCAATATCTTAGGACAGTTTATGTCCTAAGGGAGGGAGGAGAGAGCAAGCTTGTTTCCTGCTGCCCTGGAGACTATGACACGGAACAATGGCTTCAAACTACAGGAAAGAGGATTCCACCTGAACATGGAGAAGTACTTCCTAACTGTGAGAAATGTTCAGCAGTGGAACTCTCTGCTCTGGACTGTGGTGGAGGCTCCTTCTTTGGAGGCTTTTAAAAGGAGGCTGGATGGCCATCTTTTGGGGGTGCTTTGAATGTGATTTTCCTGCTTCTTGGCAGGGAGTTGGACTGGATGGCCCATGAGATCTCATCTAACTCTATGATTCTAGCTTGGGTGCTCGCAGCTTGGGAGTGATCCTGGATCCATCGCTGAGCCTGGAACCCCAGGTCTTGGCGGTGGCCAGAGGAGCTTTTGCACAACTAAGACTTGTGTGCCAGCTGCGCCCGTACCTTGGGAAGTCTGACGTGGCCATGGTGGTCCACGCTCTAGTTACATCCCGAATAGATTACTGCAACACGCTCTACGTAGGACTGCCTTTGAAGACGATTCGGAAACTTCAGCTAGTTCAATAGTCAGCAGCCAGACTACTAACTGGGGCGACATATAGGGAGCGTACCACCCCCCTGTTGTGCCAGCTCCACTGGCTGCTGGTCCACCTCCGAGCCCAATTCAAAGTGCTGGTTTTGACCTATAAAGCTCTATATGGTTCTGGCCCAGCTTACTTGTCCAAACGCATCCACCGCTATGTCCCACCTCGAAACCTAAGATCATCCGGGAAGGCTCTGCTCTCGCTCCCATCAACAGCACAAATGCGCCTGGCGGGGACGAGAGACAGGGCCTTCTCGGTGGTGGCCCCCGCCTATGGAACACACTCCCAGCTGAGATAAGATTGGCTACCTCCCTCCTAGTTTTTCGAAAGAAACTAAAGGAATGGTTTTGGGACAAGGCTTTTGGACAAGAGATGCAAACAGCACTTTAAGGGAATATGACTGGAATGATGATATGGCTGATGAGACTGTTTTACTGTTTTAACGATGGCTTATGTATTGTTAATTATGCTTTTATGTCTATTTGTGGTTTTAATTTTGTAATTTGTTATGTAATGGCTTCGGAATGGGGCCCATTGTAAACCGTCCTGAGTCGCCCTTTGGGGGTTGAGAAGGACGGGATAGAAATGTGAGAAATAAATAAATAAATAAATAAAATTCTATATCTTGAAGATGAAGAATGGGCAATGCAGAATCACCAGCGATCTCTCTCAAACATAGGGATTCAAAATGCAAGTGAAATCCAACCCTGAGTAATATTTTCAATGAGGGATTACTTACAGTGAACTCTTCTTGCTATTTACGGGTGCCAATGAGTACAGGGAAGTTTGTGCAGAGACCACAGGCTGGTTAAATATGGCCATGCATTTATGGGCTTATAAGTTTGACATGGCACTGTGCCAAAGACCAGTCATGTGCAGCATTGTGTTGGCCAAGTTATCTTCTAGGCTCACCTACTGGAAACACTTTTATTGGATTTACTATGAAACATAGTAACACAAACATGGTTCCAAGAAGCAATATATTTCTTCGAGCAGTCACAAAAAATTAACTAACCCACATTAAATTAAATTGTTCTGAACTTTTGTATCCTATCAAATGAATATACTGGGAACTTTTGCCCGAGAGTCAAACCCTCTCCTCACCCCTTCCCTTTCCTGAACATTTAATCATTTTCCTTCTAGATTTCTTTGAAGACAGTCCAACCACAGGATTATATATATATGACAGCAAGAGTAGTCAACAAGGGCATTTGTTTAAATCTCTTCTCTTCTTTATAAGCAGTGAACTTAAGAGAAGAAAGGCAGAAAATGGGGTGGGGGGGGGGAGAGACTGAAACCAGTAAATAAGATACTGACTCAGAATTTAAGTAATACTGAAACCTTTTAGATGTTTTACTTTGAAATACAGCAGAAGCTTTTTCCCCTTGGGAGATTCCATAAGAATCGAATTAATACGTGACCTCACTGGTTTAACATCTGAAGCTTTACTTTAAGGCAGCATCTTACTAGCTCTTAAATAAATGTTCTGTTTCCAAAGTAAATTATACTCTGAATCATTTTTACATATTCTAAATATTCTGCTATAAACAAAATACAAATACAAGTGAACATGTCAGTTTAATTCAGACATGGGGTAGGAAATGGCACGGAGCAGCTAATGTAAACTCCCTTCCACCAATACATTTTGACTGGACAAGAAAATATTAACTTTGAACTGTAAAGATCTGTGGCTCTTGAAGATACCGATACTCAATTAAACACTATTCCTGCAACAAACAGTTTAACTGATGGTCAGTGTGATTGCATTGTGCATGCCTTCCCTTTGCGAAAAGGCTTATTACTCCAAGAAGGAAAGATAAACATTCTCCACCTATTATTCTACTGTCAGCAATTGGCACTGCTTTAACTACACATGAATGTGAATTTTATAGATAAAAACTTGAAGAAAATGCATTTTTTGGAAATCTGATGATCCTCCAATGAAGTAAATGTTGCTGATGGCTTTGGTATTTGTAGTTGTAGTTCTCCTTTTTTTAAAAAAAAAAAATACTACTGGTAGATGTCATTTCTGTTGTCCTGGATAACTCATTAGCTATGAGAGGCTATGAGCAGAGATAGAGGCTACACAAACTGACAAATCTCAGCAGCAAATGTTGCAAAAGCAGATTTTTTTTTGTAATAGTCTGGAAGACTGTTGCCCAATTTTAAAGTACATGCCTAGTCTACATTGCTGTCTTATTTACTTCCCCTCCTTGTTTTCTTCTTCCCCCTTTTTGTTGTATATATACAACAAAAGCAAATACTTACTTTTTAAAAAGTATTTGACAATTTTACTTTATTCTACAATCTTACATCAACAATTGCTGAAACTCTTAGAATTTGGAGCAAAAACATCCAAAGAAATATAGCTAGGACTGCACTACAGACCTACTACAGTTATAAAGGTCTGGAAGGTTTGAGTGTTGGTTGGACTAAACTTTGGAGATCAGGGTTTAAACCCACATGTGTAACTTTTGGAAAGAGGCAGAAAATCATATTCTTTCTGCCTCAGAGGAAGGTAAATGCAAACCCTCTTTGAACAACTCTGGGCAACCCCCCCCCCCAATGATGGGGTTGCCTTAGGGTCAGGCATGGTCAGGGTGGTCAGCGAGAAGGCCCTACTGGTACATTATTTAAGCTGTTATGTTTATTCATATCATTATCTGATCACCATGCTCAAAATATCCCATATGCATGGGGGTATTGGGATAATGATACAAAAGGTTTGCTAGGGTAGATCCTCAGCCCCCCCCCCCCCCCCCCGAAATCAAACTCACCCCCTCCTGAATCAAAATCCTGACTATGGGTCTGCTTAGGGTTGTCATAAGTTGGAAAAGACTTCACAGAATACAACATGCAAGCATATCTAGAGATTGGGGTAATCACCTTAGCAGGTCATAACTACATGGGCCAAATGTAAACTCATCACCCAGGCATTGCGAGGAATCTAGATGCTGGATTCCCAGCAGAAGCACTGCATCCAGCCATTAATGCAGCTAAAGGGGAAATGGGAATTACTCTGGAGCTTCCATGAAGCTTCAGAATCATCCTGGAGTTTTGGCAATGTAGGCAGTTAGATGATGATGATTATATTTATTTATACCCCACTTTATCTCGTCCACAGGAGACTCAAAGTAGCTCCAGACTGGATCTGGCCCAATCCAGTGTCTAAATATTCAGCCGCCTCACTGCTGCATTGCTGGCCTCAAGCAGCTCCCAACCAGAGGCTTGCTGTAGGTGTCACTTCAGGTGAGTTCACATCATGGCGTCCAGTCAAGTGATCAGGAAATGCCACTTCACCAGCAAGCCTATTCATCTGTCTAAATAGCCAAAGGGCTCAAGGGATACTCCCAGGCTGCATTAGAGCAACTCTGAACAGTTTACCCCAGATTAATCAGTTAAGTGTTGACCCAGGTTAATATGCTGAAAACAATATTTTTTTTTATTTGTACTTTTAGATAACTGTAAACAGACCATTTAACTGAAATAGTTAGAAGGCCAATTTCAAGAAATCCTTGTATTCAAGGATGGGAGTAACAAGCTGGTTTAATACAAAAAACCAATATCAGAGGATTTATATGGTCGGCATCTTACAGTTTGTATTCCTGGAAACAGCTTGAGACCTTCCTGAACTCTGACAGATTGTCAAGCAGTTATGTAGTGGAATGAATCAGATTCTGTTAGTCTTCACTTCTTTTGGCCAACAGGAAGAGGGAAATCCATTAAGTACATGCTTTGTTTTGATAAAGCAAACTGCAAAATGAGAATGTTTACCAGGGCTCTGGTGGACTAGCACACATAACTGCCTGACTGCAAGCATGGCTTAAAAAGTACAAACTTAAATCACCATGGGATTATACTTGATATATATTTTCTCTTAATAATAATAATAATAATAATAATAATAATAATAAACAACTTTATTTATACCCCGCCTCCATCTCCCCAAGGGGACTCGGGGCGGCTAACATGAGGCCAAACCCAACAAATTACAACAGAGCAAAAGAATACAACAAAAAATCATATGATAATACATCAAATAAAATACAATAAAATAATACAAGATAAACACAGAGTATAACATAAATAACAAAACATTGGAACCTAGTGGGCAGGGTCAAATACAATGAATAGAATTTTTAAAACCCTGGGTGAGATGGATGAGTTGGATGATGTATCTGATGGGAAGTTCAGATGGGACAAACAATGGGATTCAATTAACTGGAGGGTGAGATAAAGCGCATCGAAAGACATTATATACTGAGTTAGTCAAGGTAAGGGACTTGTTGTTCAATCCTCAAAGGCACACTGGAACAGCCAAGTTTTTAGGCTCTTCGTGAAGGCTGCCAAAGTGGGCACTTGCCTAATCTCACTGGGTAGCGAGTTCCAAAGTCTAGGGGCCACCACAGAGAAGGGGGCAGGAGCGAAAGGAGGACCTCCCCTGATGATCAAAGGGATTGTGCAGGTGCATAGACAGAAATGCAGTTACGAAGGTAGGTTGGTCCCAAACCGTTCAGGGCTTTGTAGGTGACAACCTGCACCTTGAATAGGGACCAGAAAATGAACGGCAGCCAATGGAACTCCTTAAACGGGGGGGTAGACCGCTCCCTGTAATTTGCTCCAGTTAGAATTTTGGCAGCTGAATGCAGGACCAATTGAAGTTTCCGGGCCGTCTTCAAGGGCCCATGTAGAGTGCATTGCAATAATCCAGTCTAGAGGGAACTAAGGCATGGACTACCGTGGCCAGATCATATAGTATATTGTATATTCATATAGTATATTGTATTATGTCTCACCAGTGCCAAAACTTTCTTCTCCACACAGTGAACATCGACCAGAATCCATCAGATTTGAGAAGAACCTCCAACCTGCTGGTGTTTCATATACAGGGACCTTCATGGATTTTGCGACTCTAAAAGAGATAATCATATGACACCACAGTTTTGGGATAGTCCAGATATTTACATATTTGGATGCAATTTTACCCTGTCAAAGCGAGGGATTTAGTCATGGATATGTGTGAACACGATTCTATTCCTTGTTATAGCTTGAAGTTTTGTTGAAGAATGAGAGATTAGATTGTTAAGAAGATCTGGGCTGTCACCTACTTGGTTACATTTGTACACCAATCACAGTGAGCCCTAAAGCAGTTCAAATTTTTGACTGCAAAAATGTCTTTTCTTTTCAACTCTTGACCTCAGGTGTGCATAACCCGCATTAATGGGTTGCTTCAAGTTTCACGATAAATCCTCCTTTTTACTTTGGACATCACACAATATTATCAAATACCGAAATTTGGCACTGCTGACAACTTAACACTCTGCTCTTGAGAACCCACTCTTCCTCCTTACACAATTATATTTGCACTGTGGGTAGCAGATAAAATAACTGATATAAAAGTTGGTGATAATGTATGACATTTCTAAAAAAAATTACACAACAGGACTGAACCTGCCAAGTGAAGGAATGATATGGTGTTAGAAAATTAATTCAAGATACGTGGAAACACAAATAAAAGGAGAAAATGTGGAAATTCATATAAAGAGATATTTTGCAAACATTTTAAAATGCTAAATATTTTAAGCTTAGGAGCACATGTTCTCCTTAAAAAATATTAGCAACTCTGGTTCTTATGATCTATTAGTACAGCTACTACTAATACAGCTAAGGAGTCATGGTAACTCAATAGGTTAAACCCTTGTGCTTTGAATCCGTGAGACGGGGTGAGCTCCAGCTTCCCATGCAGGGACATGAGAGAAGCCTCCCACAGGATAGTAACACATCTGGGCATCCCCTGGGCAACATCTTTGCAAACGGCCAATTCTCTCACACGAGATGTGACTTGCAGTTTCTCAAGTCACTTCTTTCTTAAAAGCTGCCAAGACAGAGGCTTGCCTAATCTCACTGGGCAGCGAGCTCCAAAGCCGAGGGGCTACAGCAGAGAAGGCTCTCTCCCTTGTCCCCACAAGTTGTACTTGTGCTGAAGGTGGGAGTGAAAGGAGGGCATCCCCAGAGGATCAAAGAGATTGTGCAGGTTTATGGAGGGAGATGCGGTCAAAAAGGCAGCATTGTAGCTCATATCCTATTTAGCCAATGCTTTCTTGAAATTTTTTCTCATTTTTTCTAGGTTTGGAATATTTTGAGCCTTTCAGTACATTGCATGAGTGATATAAAGTTTTTATTTACTAAATTTTCATTTTTCATTTTCGAATATAGAGATCAGTGGTAGAGTTCCCCTGAATTGAAATTTCTTTTCACTTGAGCCCCAGACCTTCTATTAGGTTTAAGGCAGCCAAAATATCACTAAAAGTGGGTGGAATGAAGTGTAGTGTAGGTGACCCTTCCCCCAGCAATTGGCAATAAGTCAATCTGGTCTATATAAACTCTGTATCATTCCAATTTTAGTATATGTGCTGCCAAAGAGAGCACTCTGGTCTATATAAACTGACTGTGTTTGGACAGCATCTAAAACTTAATGGGGTTTCTTTAAGTTGACAGACAAGTAAAAGTACATACACACATACATACACATTATATATGATTTACAAAGCTGTAAGTGCCTTTACAATTATCTAAATCAGGGGTCCACAAACTTTTTAAACAGAGGGCCAGGTCACAGACCCTCAAACTATTGGAGGGCAAGATTATAATTTGGAAAAAAAAATCCTATGCACACTACACATATCTTATTTGTAATGCAAAAAACACTTTAAAACAATACAATAATTAAAATGAAGAACAATTTTAAACAAATATAAACTTATTAGTATTTCAATGGGAAGTGTGGGCTTGCTTTTGGCTGATGAGATAGAATTGTTGTTGTGGTTGTGTGCTTTCAAGTAATTTCAGATTTAAGTTGATCCTGAGCGAGGGCCAGGTAAATGACCTTGGAGGGCCGTATCCGGCCCCCGGGCCTTAGTTTGAGGACCCCTGATCTAAATGTTTACAAAAATAGTTGATTATACTGTAAAAGAGGATGTTCTTGTGTGTTAGCTAGCAGTTGTAAAAGTTTCAATATCCATCCCACCCCCCAAAGATTCACATCTTTTTTAAATAACTGCTGCAGGCGACACTGAGTCAATACAATCTCATCTAACATCGATCTTTTCTGGAGTATGACATGCAGTTTTAAAAATAATGAAGATGTATTTACATTACAGCTCTGTCTCTCTTGGCTTTCCTGTCTTCCAGGTGTCAGCTGCACATTTAAAAATGCTGATGTCAAGATGGGGGAATAGTGCCAGAAACATTTACAAAACATAAACCAGCCCTTCATGTTATACATTTCAATCCCAGAGGGTCCAGGAAATGGAAGACACCCTACACAATAAACTAAATGGTTTGTGGAACTCTATGAAGAAAGATGTAGGATTCAGAGTTCCTCGGATTTGGAATGAAAGGAAGAAGAAACAGTTTATTCTAAACAGACCTAAATCTAAAAGTATAATAAATTAAGGATACAGGTAACGAACAGCCAAAACAAGACGAGCGATGTAGAAGAAAGATCTAAAATGCAGTTGTGGAACCTATTCACATATACTGTACCATAGGAATGCAGGCATGGCTAAAACAGTATTTTAAATACAGTAACATAGCAATGGCAAACGCTATCTGGACAAATCTTGCTGAGACAACCTCATAGCAGGTTTGCCACAAGTCAGAAACAACTTGACGAAACACAACAAAAACATAATGACTTTGGAATTTAGTGTTCCTTTTAAGAGTTACTAGCCTTCATGGATGGACCCCCCAAACCCAAAAGTAATATTCTGGAAGTCTGTCTCAAATCAAAACAACCTTATAGCAGTGCTTTGAATGCGATTTTCCTGCTTCTTGGCAGGGGTTTGGACTGAATCGCCAACGAGGTCTCTTCCAACTCTATGATTCTATGGTTCTGAAACCAGAGACACAGGGTATTCCTAGATGATTAATGTCGAACTTAAAACTTTCTTAAGAACATTATGATTCACATCAATCCTATCTTACTCCCTTTGTTAAGAACCCTTAAAAGAAAGAAACAATACACATTTGGGCTGCTGATACTTGAGACAAACTGTGGATTGAGGATGATCACAACCACACAGAGCCAGCATTAATTACCCAGTCACTTGCGCACTGTTATGTCAACCAGTCCCATGGTCTTTTTCTATTACAAACAGATTATCTAAATAGATATTCCCTAGAAACCATGATACTATAAAACTAATCCGATAAATTTAATTTATAAAACACAATGGAGTTCTAAGCAAAAAAAAAAAGTGGGTGGTGGAATAAAAAGCAATGAAAAATACATAAATAAAAATATTTCAGGCATAAAAACACATTTGTTCAAGCTCCTCACAGCTCGAGGTGGGGTACAACATATTTAAAACACCCAGATCATAAGTACAACTCCCCCTTGCAGAATACGCAAAATAGGAAAAGACTTGTAACTACAAAATGTGTCTTTATTTTTATTAATATTTTAAGCGTTTTTAGGGACAGTTCTTGTGAACTTGGAAAATGTAGAAGTAATTAACTGCGAATCCTCAATTTCTTGACATTTTGAACTTCTGGAGTTGCATAATTCCTTTGGGGAAAAGGGGAGGGCATATTACATCCCAGCAGCTGGGGTAAGCTAAAAGCGCTTTCAGTTTTCCTGACGTGCTCTGGCTCAAAGAAAGACAGGCTTGCAACACCAGGGCCCATTTTAAAAGCCTCATGCAGTACAGTCCTCAGTCTGGATGCACTTTTACCTTTGGAATGTACTGAACTGTTTGCATATATGAACAGAGTTGCCAAAATTTAACTAAAGGATATTGTTCTTTAATTTCAATATGCAGTGGCAGCTGTTGTCTAGTGAAACAGGTGGGGTAGAGAACTGTCTCCAGATGCAAAGCCACAGAATTATTGAATCTTAGAACTGAAAGGGTCCATAAAGACCAAGTAATCCAACACTCCGCCATGCAGGGATACACAACTAAAGTGCTCCTGAAAGATACCAAACTCTGTTTAAAGACCTCAGAAAAAGAATTCCCTTCCATCTGAGACAGTCCATTCTTCTATTTAACAGTTCATACATTTAAAAAGCTCTTGTTTTTGTTTTTGGGTTTTTTAATCTTTTTTTTCCTCTGATTGTTAATAGACCTACCATTTCCCCCCGTTTTTTAGATGTTGTTAAAAAATGACTATTTTATTTCTTCAATAAAAAATAAATATTAAAAATGATATAATTTGAATGTATTGGGTCTTATTGTAATATGTGGAGCATCAGGGGAAAAATCCCAAAGTACAATATTTCAATAAATGTTCAATCTTTAAATAAATGTTCCTCATATGTTAGTTAAGATTTCTGAATTAAGAAGATTAACTTTCTCGTTTATGTTTCCTGTGCTCTAAATGCCAGACTCTGGTGTTTGTACTGCTCATTTGATCCTGTTAACATTTTAACAGTGGCAGGTCTATGAAGTAGATGTTTCGCTTCTGGATATTTTCACTCTGCATGCACTGTGTTCCCTTAAAAGGCATCAAGTGCATCTTGCAAGAGTGACCCTAAACAACTGCCAATACCCCATATATGGCTAAGTATTACAGCTGTTACTCCCAAGGTCTTTTACCAAGTGTTACTCCTGTCATCTCTAATTTATGAAATGAAAAAAAGACATTGGAATGGAAGGCCTTAACACATAGAATAGATAACCAGAACACTTCTGAGAGATAAGTAAGACAAGTCCCAAATGGCCTTCTTGAAGCACTACACTGCAGAAAATAACACAAGAATGAAGTGGAACCAAGAAAGCAATCGTGGGGAACAACTACAGAGCAAACAAGCCTCTTTCCATTTTTCTTCATAGCTATTCTTCAATAATTGGGCATTCTTGGCTGTAATGTTTACTCCTAAATATTTTTAAAAATTTGTTATCTTGATTCCTG